TATCAATACTGTAACTTGGAAGGAATTGGAATAACAGTATTTGAAATAAATGTGGATAGTGTCCACATGTGGACACAGATGATGCCCCCGCTTGCATATCATATAGTTATAAAGGGACATAACTGAAGAACGATAAAAGTGACGCTACCCAAATTTGAACTTGATCTGAGTTTTGTGGTAATAAGCACTGTGTGTAAGTCTCATAACATTTGGTTGAGGCTAACTTAAGTAGAGAACAGAAACTAAAAATTCAGCAATTTTTCTATTTGTAAACATGCATAACTCTAGAACGGTTGTGTATAAGTTTTATAACATTTGGTTGAGACAAACTTAAGTTAGAGAATGGAAACGAAAAATTTAGCAATTTTTATGTTTATAAAGGGACATAACTCAAGAATGGTAAAAGTGTTGCCACCAAATTTCGTACTTAATCTGTATTATGTAGTAATAAGCATTGTGTATAAGTTTCATAACATTTGGTTGAGGCAAACTAAAGTTAGAAAATGGAAACAAAAAATTTGTACTTGATCTTAGTTTTGTGGTAATGAATATTGTGTATAGGTTTCATAATGTTTGGTTGGGGCAAACTTAAGTTACAGAATGGAAACTAAAAAATTTGCAATCTTTCGATTTATAAAGGTGCATAACTCAATAATGGTTAAAGTGACACTACCCAAATTCAATTTGGATCTGTGTTTTATCAGTGGAAGTCAAAATTAAACATTGCATTGTATAAAGCATTGAGGTTACAATACACCATTAGATTTTATGGGCGCAGCCATTTTATGAGCATAACATGGTATTCAGAATTAAGAGTATAGCTAATCCTGATTGGTTGATATGTGCGCCCGTTATTTTTTGTAATTAGAGACTTCGTGCATTCTGCATTATACCAAAGGCCAAATAAATTATTTTCCTTAGCCCTAACGGAACTGAGATGTCTTTTAAACGCTAGGATGAGACACGTATTTTTAAGTGCAAAATTGATAGGCATGGGAGATAAGTACAAATTACGCTAAGAAAAGCAACGCGAACCTATATTTTTTGGACCAAAAAATACTGTCCTAATAACTTTTCTTTAATTCTAGCAAGGTTTCGTTAAAAAAATCAGCTTTCTAAAGTCTGTATCTCGAAAAAGGCTATCATTGTCGCCTATGGGGAAATTAATTGTTTATTTCAATCTATACAGCGTCGACATTTCTTTATCATAGTGCTCAAAAAGTGTCAAAAACAGTAATTTTACTTGATATTTGATGTGAAACCGTATTTTTTGGTGACAAATGAATTATTGATTAACTAGTTTTTAAGCTATAGTCTGTTTCATATTTGTATAGCGTTTTACCTTAGAAACAAGGGTGGGTTCGAATTTTGACTTACTGTGGAGAGAATATGTCATTTTCTGAACTTCTGCTGATTTGTTTGAAAAAAGCACGTACACGTCTAGAGTTTGGATATACAAATCGATTTTTAAACATGACAATCTCGATCCAAGTGCTGTTATCGAAATTACCAAATTCAGTGAAAATGTACAGAAATGATCCCCTTCGAACATTGAAATGTTCACTCGAATGGCAGACTATAAAAATTAGAATAGGCACGACATTTTGTAGTTAACGAATAGTTTTCGATGTTTCAACACAAATATTTACACATTTTTCATATTTTGAAAGGCTATAGTCTGTTTCAAAAATGTACTTTTATACGAAAATGGTTTCATTTAAAACTGTTGTTCAAAATTCACCGTAGTAGTTACATATTGGATCGGTTTTGGTATCAATATAATCAGTACTTGATGACATATAAAGAATCATTGGAGAAAGTGTACATTATCTTCAGGCCCTTTTTAGCAGTACCGCATTTACTCAAAAAATCAGAAATTTTTTTTTCACATTTTTTGACTGGGGTTACCTCTGATAAAAAATTGTGAAAATTCAGAGAGTAATGTCAGAACGTTTTGAAGATGATTTTTGTGTGGCATATATATTTATGCATCTAACGAACTATGAATTGCATGATTCTAGAAAGTATTAAATACCGTATAGGTTACAATACACCATTAGATTTTATGGGCGCAGCCATTTTATGAGCATAACATGGTATTCAGAATTAAGAGTATAGCTAATCCTGATTGGTTGATATGTGCGCCCGTTATTTTTTGTAATTAGAGACTTCGTGCATTCTGCATTATACCAAAGGCCAAATAAATTATTTTCCTTAGCCCTAACGGAACTGAGATGTCTTTTAAACGCTAGGATGAGACACGTATTTTTAAGTGCAAAATTGATAGGCATGGGAGATAAGTACAAATTACGCTAAGAAAAGCAACGCGAACCTATATTTTTTGGACCAAAAAATACTGTCCTAATAACTTTTCTTTAATTCTAGCAAGGTTTCGTTAAAAAAATCAGCTTTCTAAAGTCTGTATCTCGAAAAAGGCTATCATTGTCGCCTATGGGGAAATTAATTGTTTATTTCAATCTTGATTGTAGTTGATTCAACTATAATCATGGAAAAAGGAAGATAACTCCAATTTTAAAAATTACTTATTTAGAAGAAAATAAAAATTTAGCAATTTTTCCATTTCTAAAGGGGCATAACTCTAGAACGGAGTAAGTGACGCCACCAAAATTCACACTTGATCGGTATTTTGTGGTAATAAGCATTGTGTATAAGTTTCATAACATTTGGTTGTGGCAAACTTAAGTTAGAGAACGGAAACTAAAAATTTAGCAATTTTTCCATTTGTAAGCATAACTCTAGAACGGTAAAAGTTACACCACCAAAATTCAAACTTGATCTGTGTTTTGTGGTAATAAGCATTGTCTGTAAGTGTCATAACATTTGGTTGAGGCAAACTAAAGTTAGAGAACGGAAACGAAAAATTCAGCAATTTTTCCATTTGTAAAGGGGCATAACTCTAGAACAGTAAAAGTGATGCCACCAAAATCCAAACTTGATCTGTGTTTTGTGGTAATAAGCATTGTGTATAAGTTTCATAACATTTGGTTGAGGCAAAGTAAAGTTAGAGAACGGAAACGATAAATTCAGAAATTTTCCATTTGTAAAGGGGCATAACTCTAGAACGGTAAAAGTGGCGCCACCAAAATTCAAATTTTATCTGTGTTTTGTGGTAATTAGCATTGTGTATGAGTTTCATAACATTTGGTTGAGGCAAACTAAAGTTAGAGAACGGAAACCAATTTTGGGACGTATGTACATATGTACGTTCGTTCGTACGTACGTACAGACGAACGTATGTACGTTCGTTCGTACGTACGTACAGACGGACAAGGGTAAAACTTAATGCCCCCTCGGCTACAGCTGGGGCATAAAAAGTGTGGTTATGAACTTTGATATCAATAAAGCTTTTGTCTAATTTTATTCCATTACTTCCACATGAAACAGATAATGATAAAATGCTTTCTACTTAAATATTATATCTTACCTTTTCACATTTATTCATAAATAGTACTATTTTTCAAATTTTGATTTACAAAAGTAACTACATGTATATGCAAGTGTTTATCTAAAATTTAGTAGCTGTTTGACCTATCTTTTCTTATTTTAAGGGCAAATTATATGTCAAAAGATGGTGGTAGATGATAAAAATGTTGTTTAAACTTTCTGCAAGTCATAAAACACATAATTAGTTACATGGTATGTTGTCAAAGCAGAACTATGCCAAATCTTAAAATCCGGAGTGTACACATAGATCCAGCATGGCTGGATCAAAAATACAAAACAAAGAATTACATCTGCTGTCAACATATCAAAAGCTGCACAAACTTCAGAACAAGAGATGAGCTTTTTATTTTTTTGATAATGTTTCAGATTACGAATGATATCCAGTAGAAAATTCAGGTATGAATTAAACCTGTTCCAATTTTGTCCTTCACATGGTTTGACCCTAGGTTCTAACAAGAAATGAGATGTCAAATTGACAGCTAAAAGGAATGAAAAAATTGAAAACAACACGTTTAATAATTTCATGCGTCCGAAGCGCTTTTTTGGATTTACCTTCATCAGGAACGCTCAAAGCCAAACATTTGAAATCCGAGGATGTATAAGTACCGAAACCGTTGAAGAGCTATATGACAAAAATACCTAAAATAAATAGCCAAATTCATCTAAAATCAACTTTGCCTGAGGGAGTTATTGACATATTGTAATGTATGGTACTTTCAGGCTTGTCTGACCTGCCACGTTCTGTGCCCATTTACAAATCTATAAAAGGTCATGAATTGTCATGAATTGTAAAATTGAAAATAGTCAATTTCAAACTTGACCTCCATTTTTACCATTAGTACATGTGTAACAACATATAAAAATTTGAAAAGCATTGGCTAAACAGGTCATCTTCCAATCTATCAAGGACCATAACTCCTGAACACAAAAAGAAAATATCAATATTGAAATTGACCTCAATTTTGTCATCAGTAACAAAAGACTAAAATTTGAAAAGCATTGGTTGAATGGTTCATAATCTATTGCATGGCAACAGTCATTTTCCAATCTATAAAGGACCATAACGCAGTAAAAACTTGACCTCCATTTTTCCATCAGAAACAACGTATTAAGATTTGAAAAGCATTGGTTGGATGTTACATAAGTTATTGCACAGAAATGACATAATGAGTATTTAGTTACATCGCAATGTTTAAATTTTCTTTTATGAAATTTGATTAGCAGATCTTAGAAGGAATCTATTTAAGTTTTCCCCAACTTTCCACATTCCAAGCTGGCCTTGGTCCAAATCTAGATCTGGGACATAGTGTATTGTTAGTTATCCTCTTCCTATAGATGAAGAGCTTGACTTTTAGTATACACAATTCACCATAACGTTGAAGACTCTGTTTATCTCTCAAATTAAATATTGTTGCAAACATTTTTTTGTTCATGTTTAACATAGTTGGATTTTCCTCAAATATAAATACTCATGAAATAACCTAAAGGTAAATTTCAAACACAACTGTCTGATGTTAAACTATCACTGTCCAAACCTTTTATACTCATGAGTCTTTCAAATTCTTCTGGCAGATTTTTCTCCAACCATTTCTTGCATTTTTCATAATTTGGATAGTATTCACAATACTGAAAGTAAAAAAAACCAAAATTAGTCTCTTATTCTATACAAATTTATCATGTTTATACACCGATGGTGCGAGACCCTCATGGGTAGTCAAGGTCTTTAAACAGCCCCTGGTAGTATGTTTATACTATTCCAGAATGGATGTATAATATTATAACAAGTTGCTAGCTTTCTGTCAGCCTTTTTTTCTCATCAAAATTGGCAATAAAATCAAATGCTTCTTAACGTTTAAAAAAATTCAATGTTGCTTTTAATATATACATCAATTCAACATTGCATTTTTTGTTTGTAACATTTTCTTCACACAGGTGATACAACCATGAATGGACAGTAAATACAGTGAAATGAGGATGTTTTTACCTTGACCATCCAGCATGTCCAGTAGCTTTTATAAAATGATCATATTGCATATCTATTAAAATAGTATTATTATGATTGCACTGACTTGAAACTATAAAAACCCTTATTTGGAATTAACATAGTTTTAAAAGTTTACATCATAATGAAAATTTGTATTTTATATCAAGTTAATGTGACCACAATTACATGGTTAACTGCCTTAAAGGAAATTTTTCACCTGATACGTGACCAACTTCATAATGTCCCTTCTATAGTAAGCAAGGCATACAAAAATAGATTGTGTATCATAATTTCAATAGTTAATGCTTCCATATTTACATGATTTATAACAAACTTTTATTTTAATTATCTATTGAAAATTTTTTAAGTTGCTAAGAAACTAAAGTTCCAACTCCCTCAGGCATATTTGATCTAAGATAATTTTGGCTATACTTTTTACAAAATGTTTTACTTTTGGTGGTATAGCTCATTATGTTTTTAGGTCTTTATACATCCTTGGCTTTCTATAGTTAAGATTTGAGCCTTCCTGATGGAGGTAAATCCAGAAGAGCTCTTCAGATGTACAAAATCATTAAATGTATAAAGTGTTATTTTCTTTTACTGGTAGAAATTAATATATAACCAAGATGTCAATATGTATTTTGTAGCTTATTAGGGTTGATAAACTACGTGTGTCTGTATACACCAGGATTTTACCATATTTCAGAAGAAATTCCTTACCCGGTAATTCAAATAATTACATACTGGAATAAATCAATATTTCTCATTATTTTCCAACCATATGACATGTAGATCAGTTTTATACCATTTTAATAACCTTAGTCATCTGTTGCAATATGCATTCAGGTCATTATTTAGCACATTTGCCTTAATTATTATTAAACTAAATGTAACCTGCAACCACATTACTTTTTTGCAAATGTATCATTGCCTCATCATTGGTCAGTGAATACATGTCTTTAAATGTATCTAAATCTATGTATGACTGAGACAATATACAGAAAAGGATGTTGACAACAAGAAATATGCAGTTTCCCATTACTGAAATCTTACCAATCTGTAACTTTCAAATTTACATACTCACTTCTAATGGCATACTGCATTCTGAAAAAGAACAAAAAATAGCTGTTTTAAACCTTGTCAAAGCATTTGAACTAGACTTGAGATCACCTCTTCTACACTAAAACAAGTCTTAAAACGTGTTTGCTCTGTCTCAACGTCCAATATACATTATGAAGGGTTGTAGCTGTGTCAAGTTGACTTTTTCAGATAATAGACAAAATATGTTAAAATTGTTAAAAAAGGCAACCTTTATATCAGAGCCATAACTGCTGTTTCAAGCAATTGGTATTGTTTGTAGATCATATATTTCAGATCATCGATACAGTTTCTGTCTATCTACTATGCAAGTTTTCAAGATAATAAGCAAAACAGCAAATATTGGTAAAAATTCTTCATTTTACATGTTTAAGAGCAAAAACTCCTATAAGTCAGTAAATTTTATTTTATCACATTATCAATTCTGTATATATAGATCCTGTATTGCTGAGCTATGCTGTTGTTTACAGTGTCTGCCTATTTAATTTTTTCAAGACTAGGCCAATAAAAAAGTATGTGTGTTTACTGTTATCTGCTGAAAACAAAAAATATTTTTATCAGCAAACCCAGAAATAGCCGAAGTCGGTATTGCATTTACAAATATTTCCGATTAATGGCCATTTGTCAAAGATTTTTTGTCAGTCAGATATGTTTTTACTGAGATTTATACAATACTTGCTGACCATTTTCAGCATTAAGCTAGCAGTTGAACAAAAAGAATATAGCTGTCAGCTTTAATACCAGTAAAAATATAATTTGCCCAATTTTCAGTAAAAAAAAGTTAGGGTTGGATATAAAAAATTATGGTACCGGTAGGTAGGATTTCAGTAAATACAATGTTTTTTTTTTGGCATAATAAACAAAATGCATAACTCCTATATTATATTGTATTGTAGAAATGCTTACAATGCAACGTTAAATATATATTTCATTTACTTAACTTCTGTAAAAATAATACATCAGTGCTGATTTTACCTAAGCCTATCAGAATAGTGTGGTTAAAGTTCATAACAAGTTAACTCCTGTTATCTAACAGTGCTTTAGACCTTGAGGACATAACTAATGACTTATGAATGACTTATATGACTTGATTATTTAGATTGCTGGAACCTGGGCTCTATGTTTCAAAGGCCAAATTGTGGATGAAATCCAGACGATTTGGTATATTTTCTAAAAATCGCTATTTTCACCCATTTTTGATTGTAACTGGCAAATCTGTAAGAAAAAACAGAAAAAATTGTACAATAGAAAAAGAAAGGATATGGGGTATCCATCCATGACACAAAATCAGTACATGCACAGCAAAAAACACACAAAAATCAAAGGAACAGCACTTTTATTGCTGTTCTTCATCTCAAAGTCACAGTGAGGCCTTCAACAGGAAGCAAAAAACCTTTCACTTTCGCACATATGTATGCATTAAATTGAAACGCTTAATTTTGAAATAATGGAAATCGATTTACATGTATAAGATTTATGCAGTAACTTTAAATATGACAAACAAGAAATGCTTTCCCATTTCTAAATTGAACTTGTTTGTACAACATCAACAGCTGCAACCATGATCCTAGTCTACTGATATGGATAGAATTTTAAATAAAATGCTTCGCCGAGCGCAGCTGGATACAACCGCAGAGGTCCAACCCTGAACAGTTTGGGGCAAAACTGGACACAATATTCCCGCTTGATACAGGTCTGAATTTGGATTGTAATTAAATATTTGACACATACTAGGTTTCTGACACAGAATAACTGTAGTCAAAGAACTAAGAATTGGTTACCCCTCCCCCCAAAAAATAATTTAAAAAAAATTTTACCCCCACCTTTTTTTTGCTTTTGTGCAATACACTATGCTGTTGCAAATTGAACCCCCCCTTTTTTTTTGCCAAAAAAAAAAATATTTGAAGAAATTTTCTTTTTAATTTCTGAAATCTGAAAATATGTCCCCCCCCCCCAAATTTCTTTTTTACCCCCCCTTTTTCCCCCCCAAAAAAAAATTCTTTCCCTCAAGATATGATCATTATCTCAATTCAAATTTTATGGAGTTTGCAACCATAATTACCCATTTATATACATCATAACATAAACGGTACCAATTTTTCTGCACCAGATGCGCATTTCAACAAACAATGTCTCTTCAGTGATGCTCGAGGCCAACATATTTGAAAATCCAAAGCTTAATAAAAATATGAAGAGCTATAAACAAAAAAGGACCAAAAAGTATAGCCAAAGCCGGGCAAGGAATCAGAGCTTTGCATGAGGGAGATACATTCCTTAATTTTAAATAATTTCCAAAATTTTGTGACAGCAAATTTTAATAACATAAAACCCGTATTTTCATGCCAGTACCAAAGTACTGGCTCCTGGGCTGGTGATACCCTCGGGGACTATCAGTCCACCAGCAGAGGCATCGATCCAGTGTAAGGTAGGTAATTCAAACACAAAACATTGTACTTAAAAGTAATTGTCCATTAACAAGGAAACCCTTGTTTTCCCCCTTTTTTGCCCCTAATTCCTAAACGGTTTGAGCCATTACCCCCCAAAGCCAATCCTAACCATCCCTTTGTGGTATGGAAACTTGTGGTATAATTTCAGAGAGATCCATACAACGTTCCACAAGTTATTGTCTGGAAACTAGAAAAATGCTTATTAGGGCCCCTTTTTGGCCCCTAATTCCTAAACTGTTAGGACTATAACCCCCAAAATCAATCTCAACCTTCCTTTTGTGGTTATAAACCTTGTGTTTAAATTTCATAGATTTCTATTTACTTATACTAAAGTTATTGTCCGGAAACCAATTGTCTTCAGACGACGCTGACGACGACGTGATACCAAAAATGCTTACAAGTTGCAAAATAGGATATCTAAAGTTTTAAACAAATTGTAAGATAACTTTAGGCACCGGTCAATCATGTTATGTGTTTGTGTGCAACTTGAGGGGGATGAATTTTCCTTCATAATTTTCCAATTTTCCAGATAATAAAAAAAAACACAATTGTTTTCGGTAACATACAAGAACACTATTTTTTATATAAAATTGCCCCCCACCCCGCAAACCTCTGAAGATTGATCAGTAATAGAAACCAACTGCCGTATATTTTTTCTGTTTGAAAAAAAAAGAATTTCACTTCCCTTCTAAAAGAAATAATTTTTTTCCCTTCCCTTCTGAAACAAATATATTTTTTTTCACTTCCCTTCTTAACAACAAAATGAGATTTTGTATGCTCACCAAAAATAAAGACTTTTAAACACCTGTGTTAGATAAGATAAATCATGGAATATTATTTATTCTCGATTCAAATATGAATAAAATTGAAGCATATTGTCTCATCTTTCAAAACCACTTTTCTGTTAAATAATGAGATGCAACAACACGTGTTTTTATTAACCACACTATTTTTAGACTCAGTTGTCAATTTTGTCAATATCAATAGTTGCGGTCAAGCATGCCGATGAGAGCAGACGTGAAAATTTTTGCAGAGAGAATCCTTCAACATCATTGAAATTGTTTTATTCCACTGTTTAAACATATTGATAGTTTAATCAATATTTGATTGGTTGAGACTATCCCACGTGTCATTGAACAAATCTTCATATTCCATTCTGAGGATCATATTCCCCTCTCACTGTGTATCATCGCCACCGGAAATTGGGTACTAACGAAGCGGAGAGAAATGGAAAAAAAGTAAACAAGGTAAGAATTCATTCAATTTAAAGCATTTCTACTGGTTTGACGAAGGTACCGCTTAAGAAATGATTTTCTGATATATAATTCTTTAAATTATTAGGCCGATAAGTACAAAATTAAGACAATATTTTGTGTTATACTCCAAAGCTTGCCACTTAGTACCTGAAAATTTCGAGGTCGATTGTCCTCTGTCGCCCCATTGGCAAGATATTCAACTGTTTTTCATTATTTTTCCAGACACGTTTTTAGATTATGATAGTGTGACATCATATTGACTGAAATCTGTTGTCATAAAGATGTTTTTAAAGAATACAGACCAAAACATTGTTTGTTTATTGTACGGCGAATTGCAGGACGTTGTACGGCGAATTGCAAAATAACAACTTTTGTCTGTACGGCGTCTTGCAATATATTGTAATTTAAAGATGAAATTAATCACTGTTTAGATAATATCAAGTGACGAAATTTGGCTGTATCAAAGCTTTACCGGCTTACAAATATACAAAATAAACTACTTATCAACTATTATAAAATATATGCCGTTAATTTCGTTCAGAGGTCGTCGTTGCGTACCTCTATTTGACTTTTTGTTTTTAAAGACAAAAAGTTTTTTTTCAACCATATTATCCTAAATACATTCATATATCGTTATAATAATAACGACTGTTGTCTTATTTGTTGTCAAGGTGAAATTTTGTAAGTTCAATAAAAAAAAACGACCATTCATCTTTTGTTGGCGCTGTTTTTTTTTTTAAATATAAACAGTGGAGATGTTGTATGATTGCAAATAAGATAACTATCCACCAGGGTCAAATAAAGTGTATGTAAGCAATTATATACTATCGTTTGGCCTTCAACAACGAAAAATCGTACCTTACAGTCGGCTATAAAAAGCCCAGACATGAAAATTGTGGAAGGATTCAACAAGAGAACTAACGTCCTATCTCATAACAAAACAATTAACGAAAAATAACAAATATGATAGAGATGAACCAACGACAACCACCAAACTACAGGCTCGTGGCTTCGGACAGACACATAAAGAATGTGCTGGGTTAAATAGATCTAGGAAGATGTGGTATGAGTGCCAATGAGACAACTCTCCATCCAAGTCACAATTTATAAAAGTAAACCATTATAGGTCAATGTACGGTCTTCAACATTGTTTATTGTTTATTTTTTAAATTTCTGAAATGAATAATTTGTTAAAAGAAAAGTGAAGAAAATACTTTGTTTTCATTGAAAATTACGAGAAATAAATCATGAATTGTGTTTCGAATTAATTTTCTTGTTTCTTATTGAAAATAAGATTGTATTT